TTAAACAGTATGTCAGTATTAATAAAGCTGTCTAATTAACTCATATTTTGATTTATATCTCAAATGCCAGCAAATATTGACATCAATTCCTTTAGGCTTATAATTCAAGTATAGTGCATTAGTGCAACAACACTCCTGCTACTTATCAATTTGATCTGTAATTATTTTTTATTTTCTAATCGTCTTTTATCAATATCTTTGATAAATGATAAAAGAAAAACTATTGGTATAACGATACAATAAATGTCAACGTGTTTCCTGCGATCGATATTATGAAAAAAAATGGAAGTATGGAGTACTAATTCGTTAATTGAATTTTTCTTTTGTTTACCATCATTACCGTTTTTTCCGATGGATATTCTTTGGTCAATCCACTTAGTATTTCACCTTTATAGGTTGTTTAATAATTTACCTTTGTGGCTAAACTTATGAAATTATACACAGTCGTACACATCTTAGGATAATATAGGTTGTTAATTGTAATAGCCGTTGCTAGCTTGTTAAATGCGATGGGTAAAATGAGATTAGGAGATGGAGTATTAACAATTAACTATTTAACAAATAAAAATAATAATAATCTATCAACTACAAGTATTATTTAATCTTGAAAAGAATATACTAAGTGGTCCAAATTTCGGAGTACGTTTGACTGGCCAAAATAAGTAAGTGAAGTCGTGAAGAGTGTTCACATAATGTCCTCATTTCATAACTCATAAACAATAAGGGGTCGTTTGGTTCGCAAAGTGGAATCGGAATGGAATGGGGAAAGGATATGGAGGAGAATGGAATGAAACTCTTGAAATTTGCTATGTTGTTTGTTTTAATAACGAAGTGGAATAAATCCCACTAGTCCCACCACCACACAGCCACCTAATTCATTAACTTTCCACCTTTTCCGGCCACCATCCATCCACCAAACCACTCACCGCACCTCCCCCACCATTCGCCGCCCTACGCCAGCCCTCCCCCACCCCTGCGCAGCCCATCCCTCTCCCAAAAAACCTCCCTTAGCCCAGATCCTCCACCATCATCATAGTAAAGCTCGTAACTCCCTCCACCAGCAACAGCAGCGGCATCTAATTCCAATGGGGCCCGCAAAACGATTACCGGACTAAACGGTGACCGGTCACCACCATTTCTTCGACTCCAACGAAATCTAGGGCTAGAGGAGAGAGATTCACGAGATGAAGCAGAGTTCGAGTTCGAATTAGGGTTTCCTCCGACCATGTACATCGCTGCAGACGGAAAACGACGTCGTCGAGAGTCGACGAGAGGAGAGGAGGAAAGCTGAGACGAAAGCGGTCGACGGATCTAAGTGGAGGGGAGGGTTATGCGTGGGTGAGGGAATGATTTTCCGGTGAGAGGAGGGGCGGCGAGGTTCCGGTGAGGGGCGGCGAGGGTCGGGGGATGGCGGCGACATTCCGGTGAGAGGCGGCGAAGTTCCGGCGAGAAGTGGGTGAGGGTGGCTGATGTGGGTATGGTGGTGGTTGGGGAATTGAAAGGGAATGGGAAAGGCTAGGGGGGTGGGGAATGGGAGTAGAAGGTTTTTGGGTAATCAAAGGAGAAAGGGAATAATTGAAATGGAAAAAAAAAACAACAACAACAAAGGGAATGATTCTCATAGAATCCCATTCCCTTTGATTATATTACTGCGAACCAAACGGCCCCTAAGTACATACATGATTTTGTTTTTCTTTTCATGTCGGAAAAGTCAACTTTTATGCTGATATAAGATACAACGATACAATAAATATAAATGTCAATGTGCTCCCTATGATATTATTATAGAATATTATGGAGTAACAAAAAAAAAATTAAAATTGATGTGAGCAAAAACTGAAAACCTATTACAAAAAAAAAAAAAGAAAAAAAAAATTATCTAGTGTTAAATTATTAGGTTTGTTGCCCATTATTGGTGACTAGTATTAAGTTGATGTTGAAATCTTATTATAAAATGTATCATATTTATTACTCATTAGCCTTTCTAATCGTGGTACTCAATTTATATACGTAGTAGTAACTTTTTTTTTTCTTCTTCTGAACAGTCTTTGGCATTATATATAACTGGTCATACAATTAACTCCTTCATAAAATGTAAGTGACAACATAAGATATGTAAGTATTATAGATTTTTTAAAGGTGAAAGCAAAAGGTACTGGGTTGGTTACGTGGAATGTAAGTGGAATGTAACTAATGAGGCACCGACCTAATCAATCAATTGGCTTCTCAGAAAGCACATATTAATTAGAACATATACCCGATTACATGTAGCTCTACATACATAAACTGGGTTGGTTACGTGTATAGTAGCTCTACTCCTAGCTTTAATTCCTTGTTTAAATTGCTTATAAATATTACATTTATTATTATTGATCATATAAGAAGAAATTTACTAATTGATTACTTTGAAAAGATGACATCAAATACAAAAGTACATAGTATTATATAATTATATTGCGGTTAAAACTTCATGTTTAAATTTGAGGTATAGTAGTTGATCTTAGAATGTCACTACGTACCCTTTTTTTTTTTTTTTTTTTTTGAAAACACCAACGAATTACTATATTAATAGAGATCGATTTCCGTCAAAGTTAAGAGGCTTTGGGGGAAAGGACCTAAACAAACAAGTTCGTTACAACCTCTAGAATCCCACCTAGCAACGTGCTGAGCTAGAGTATTACCGGCACGTTTAACATGAGACATCGAAAAAGCTACAAAAAGATTTGACAGAACACAAATGTCATCAACAAGCAATGAGAAAGGGGTAAAATTGGCAGCCTTCTTCTTAACCCCTTGAACTACATTGGATGCGTCACTCTCCAAAATTACCGAAGAATATCCAAGTCTTGCAGCCACTTGGAGACCATACCGACACGCAGCAACTTCAGTAGCATCAGGAGCCCACCCAGCCTTCTCCTTTCCAACAACAGCCACCAAAGCCCGAGACCTGTCGCACTCCCAACATGAGCATCACAGTTGACTTTCACCACCCCCCTACAAGGCCGAGACCAAGAATTTGCAAAGGGCTGCCCTTGCACACGCTGACCCATGAATACCTTCTTAGCATAATCACCATACTCAAGGACAGACTTTGACAGGTTTGACGCAACACTAACAGGCAGACAGTCACATTGTCAAATATAATCATGTTACGACACCACCAAGCAGTCCAAGCTAGAGTTACTCGCAGCCCAAATATCCATCGCTGCATTACATTCGAAGGTAGCATGTATCACCGACTCATCTCCATTCCCACAGATCGAACAAGTCTTGCTTTCCACCATGTGCCGAAAATGTAGCCTTTCTCTAACAGCTAGGAAGCCTTTATACGCCCTCCATAGAAAGTGTGCAAGTTTCGGAGGACCTTTAATACCCCAAATTAACCTCCAAACAGCGTCTTGAGATTGGGATTGTACCCTTGCTGGTCCCTGCTTCCCCAGCCAATACCCCGAACGAACCGAGTACTCCCCGCATTTTGACGACCACCTATACATCACATCCTCTGTTGTTCGATAGGATAATGGAATTGATAAGATTAACGCTTGATCCACCGCATTAAAATTATCAAGAATCACATCCTCACGCCAAACCATAGCTTCATAATTAATTAAATCACTAACTCGCAGCCCGAAATTGCTATGATTCAACGGCATCGGCACACACACTGAGGAACCCCGGCCCCTTGACAGCCATGCAGAATCCCAAACTGAAATATTACTACCATTCCCGACCCTCCATTTCGACCCCTCAAGTAACAATAATCCACCTAATCATTAACATGTCAATCGCCTAATAAATTATATCAGAACCACCAAGGGGCAGCGCTGCTTTCCTAGTGGGGCTTAGAAAATCATAGAGTGACGTCCCAAAGCACCACAAGTTTTTTCGGTACCGCTAGAGAGCACTGAGAAAAGCAGGCAGCGCCCCTTTGTGGCCTTGATATAATCATGCATGTATATGTGATACATGGAATAACTAAATAAAATTTTAAAAAAATGCACAACATGGCTCATTGTTGGCAACATAACGCTGGTGGCTAAGTCGACAAAGCCATCAGATCGAGGCTGGTTGTTGGTGCAACGATGATATGGTTAGTGTTTTTAGATTTTCTAACGATATTGGTGGCCATTGGAAGAACATAGAGCTATTAACCATGGGGTCAAGCCTTGGCCAAAAAATAAAAAAAAATACTCTTTTTGGGCCAAGGCACCGGACCAGGACCAAGTTCGAGCAAAAAAAAAAATCAAATAAAAAATGTCACAATTAAACCCGCTATTTCAAGCCAAATTCAAGGCAGGCCAACATTTTAACCAATTATTATGGGTTGCCCAAAACCCAAAAATAAAATTAATTCAAGTTAAAAGAGTAGTCTACATTCCAACAAGTGTTATTTTTAAATTAAACCCAATAGCAGCACAACAACTTCCTAGGCACAACAAATTTGGCAAGGACCAGTTAGGGCAGCAACGTAGCCTCTTGGAGCTTCGTTTTAAGGTAGATTTCCACCCCCACCCCCCGAAAATCACCCCTTCTCCCCGGCCCACCCCTAGCCCTAAAACAACTCTGCAGGAGGGATTCCATTTCGGGCTGGATAAAGGGAGGAGGTGGGATTTTGGGGTTGGTTAAAGGGAGGTGGTGGGGTTTCGAGGTTGTTGGCTGAGCAGTGGCGGCAATTTTGTGTGGGTGGGGATGGGGAAGGGTGGACTGCCGCTTGCCAGAGGAGGAAGAGGTTGTCCATTAACATGTTATAATAGATTGGTGACCGGTTGGGACCAATAAAAGCGAATACACTCTAAAGTTCAAATTATTTAAAAATAATCAATATAGTTGAGATTATTTAACGAGAAAACAAGAAGGTCGGAGTTATTTTTACCGAATATTCCTTTTTAAATTACTAAGTCTTACCATAATTTTTTGTATGTGGCTGGCCACACCGTGTGACTGAGTTACTAATTAGAGGTTACTCGTTGGGTCAGGGGTAATTATAGGGGTTACTTACAGAAAACACGCTAACCGATTGATTAAGTAACCCCTACAAGTAACCCCTGAATAAGTAACACATACAAGTAACCCCTGAATAAGTAATACGTACAAGTAACCCCTGCCACACGGTATGGCCAGTCACACAGAAATGTTGAACTCTTACAAGCTTTGCTCAATTAATTAAAACAACAAATTTTTCAAAATCAATTTACTCAATTCACCAAATTACCACAGATTGTACCAACGAAGGTGCTATTGTTTGTACGGTGCATGAGCCTGCCAAATAATATACTTTGGACAAAAAATAATACTTATTTGTGATGATCTAATCTTTTAGATGCAAATGTCAGATATATACATATATGGATACCGATTGAATAATACTATGAATGTTTCTTAATCACACGGGGTATAAACATGTATTAAATGATATGATACTTACAAAAATGTATGTAGTTCATCACCCGATAACACTCAAAAAATTAAAAAAAAAATAATAAAAAAAAAATTTAAAGGATGTAAAAATCAATATAATCAGTGATCACTTCACAAAAAGCTTAAAGTCATGGTAAAAAATTAAGCCCATATAGCTAAAACAGCCATAAAACCAGCACCAAGTAGCAAGGTAAGATTTGCTCCAAAGAAAAGCCTAGTGTTGGTTTGCATCTTAGGGTTCATAAAATCTTGAGCTAGAAGATCTACAAGTGCCATGTAAATCAAAATTCCGGCCGCCACCGCATCTAACAACCCTTGAACAATAAGAGCTGTTGGACTACTTTCATCATAAACATTAGATATTCCTATTCCGATTGCGATTCCTACTGGAGTTGTGAGGGAGAAGAACAATGCCATGCACAATGTAGATGCTGACTTGAACGCTGCCTGCATGTATGATTACCAAGGATACATACATAGTATGCATAAATTAGAAAAATAATGTTCATTATGATAGGATCATACATTAGCATACTTAATTTATAACATAGATACATAATTTACCTGTACAATGCATCCACCAAGTCCTACACCTTCGAAGAATTGATGGAAGCACAAAGCCGCCATTAGAGGTTTAATGGTATCGAGACTTTCAGAAGTACCCAGTGATATTCCTATAATTACTGAATGAACCACAATACCCATCTCCAACACCTGAACAATAATTCAATAGATAACATGATTTCCATATATATCCGGTGTTAATTTAAATGACTTAATGCAATTATACAACTCAACATTTTCAAATATTATTTTTCTACTCGGTGGGTAGATATAGCAATGTCCCATTCAATTATTTCATTGACAAATATTGGCTATCTAACTCATAGTACTAAAGACAAGTTGGAAAGTTATTATGTCCTTAAGTACTTTCGGCCTCTCTTATCTCCCTAAATAATTAAACCCCCTGCCTAACTGACCCTATGACAGTATGACATTGTACGTACATACACCCTTATTTCAAAATTATTATTTATAAGTATTAAACTACGGAGTTTCTTCAAAAAAAAAACTACAGAGTAGTTTTAATATATCACATGCCCCGCGTGATCACCACTAATCTCTTCATCCACACCCGCCGCCACGGTCGCCTTCCCAAAGTGGACCCTACGATTGTGCCCGGTGGCGAACGCATCGATCATCAAACTCCCTAGAGCCCCCACCATGGCGGCGAGTCCGGTAAAGGGGAACTTCCCCCACGGATTCTCCTTCAGGCAAGGGCTAGTAAGACTTTCGAAGGCATCGGGTAACACGTGAATAAACCCCGTGGACAAAATTACCCCTGCCGCGAAAGTCTTTACTCGGAAAAATGAATTACTCTCGGGGTGTAACGATGGGAAACTTTTTCCTATTATAGGGAGACATACTCCGAGGGCACTTGCCACCAAAATGATGAAAATAGCCCCAAGTTTATATTTCAATGTGTCCGAGTTTTGGTCTTTAGTGATTTCTTCATGGTCGCAAGTGCAATCACCTGCCACCAAAGTGGCCGAGAAGAGGAGGATTAAGAGTGAGTAGATAAAAAGGTAGTACGATCTCTTCCCCATCGACATATATAGTTGCTAAAATTTTCTCTCTTTAATTCAATGGAAGAAATAAAAAGAAATCGATCGAAGAAGATGGTGTAGGTGGTCGAGAGAAGGTCACAAATATATACTTTGTAGTTTGTACAGTATATGATTAAAGTTCGTAACCCTAATGTGTATTTATAGATGAAAGAATTTGTTGTTGATGAAAAATAATTAAGCTAGCTTAGCTAGAGAAAACTAAAGTAAATGTAGTAATGTACTAGGGAAGTGATGTTTTGATATTAGTCAGAGTAATAAAGATTGGTGTATGATTTACAAACTTTGTTTCTTTTTAACGAAATGTTAGAGTTTAACGGAAACACGTCTAAGTGTGAACATTATTAATTTATGAATCATTTCGTTCGTTTATGCACAAGTCAACAAAATTATACAAGTAGTTTGAGATAATGTCATCATATTGTCATATGAATATATGGCAAAGTGATATAGGATTATTGCCACGAATTTTTCCGACGATCAAAGAATATGTTCTTTCTTATATATTATTCACAAAAGACGGTCAAGAAAAGGGTGGTGAATAGTGTAAAAGTCAAAGCGGGGTCAAGTAAAAAAGAACGAAGGAAATAGTTTATATGTATTATTAAAGAATTACTATTTATAATTGCTTTACTTTTATATCCAACATACTAGAATTTGAAATTTTTCCATTTGACACATTTTCGTGGCAAAGTTGCCTGAAAATGAAGTCATGATTTTGTCATCGTTCTTTGGTTTTGTTAAGTCGTCGAAAATCTCTTTGCAGCTGAGCAATGAAATGCGCAAAGAGAATTGTTGCCGGAAAACGCATAAAGCGGGAAAATGAAGAGAGATTTGGGTATTTCACTATCTAATTTGTTTCTAGCTTAGGAATGTTGAAATCTTTGAATTTCTGGAAAATTAAATTTAACAATTCAAACCAACAACCCATTATCTTCCAATCAAAACATGAGAAGATGGGACAAACGAGTTTGTGGTATTAGATGCATTGTAAAAGTTATTTTGAGATAGATAATAAATCTTGCGAGGTGGTAGAGTGAAACATGTAGGTAGCTGAGGCGGGGATTGATGTCACATTGTCATTAGAAAAGTTGTAATTTGTTCGTGTATTTTATATACTAGTATATTTTTTGGTGTTTAGAGAGCCATAAGGACGGGGGTGAGAATCGATCTCAAGATCTCCTAGAATCAGAAGGAAAGCTCTAACCACTTGAGTCATTCCTCACTCTCCATGTATTTTATATTTGCATACATTGTTCTTTCCGCGTTTTTTTGAACCCTTGTATTTTGACCGAGTATACCATACATGTATAGTACTCCAGGGTGTATGATGAACTTTTCACATTTTGATTGAGAGCTTTTGTTTCATTAAAGAGAGTTTATCGACTTTAAAATCCTTTGTGTATTGTTTCGACGTTTAACCAAGTTCGTAGAATTTTTAAGTTGCAATTTGCTATTGTATTTTAAAGGCCTGTAATTGGCAAAACGAGTACTTTTATGACTCGTTTGGTAACCAGTAATAAATTGCGATAAAAGTATTAAATTTAATTTAAGTGTAATAACTTAGAATGAAAAATAACCTACTCGTATATATAATTTCCATGGAACACAATCTCTTCCCTCAACCTTGTATTTTTTTTTTTGTTTTGTTTTTTTTTTTTTTTAAGGAATTACTTCATTATTATCCATCAACATGCCACTTGGAAGTTGGCATTAGGTGTTCATGAAATTTTATGATAACAAATAATTTAGTTAGAGGGCTATCTTGAATGATCATGAAAATGAATATGATTTCATTTTATAAATTTGACATATTAAAATACTATTTGGTACAATACAAGATGTAAAGTTTGTCAACTCAAATTTTATGGTGGGTTGGAGCTATGGACAAGAAAATTGCAGCATTGGTTGGAAATGGCACTTGGGATTTGGTGGACTTACCTAGAGGGAAGAAACTCATTGGATGCAAATGGGTATTCAAGGTGAAGTTAAAAGCTAATGGTGAGCTTGAAAGATGCAAAGCAAGACTTGTTGCTAAAGATTTAATATGGCATAGACTATGAAGAAGCATTCAGTCTAGCTGTGAAAATGAACACCATTAGATGTCTAATTGCCTTAGCAGCTTGTAAAGGATGGGATCTGTTTCAACTGGATGTGAATAATGCTTTTTTACATGGTGACTTGAAGGAAGAGGTCTATATGAAAGTGCCAGAGGGGTTTGATAACCCAGGAAACAAAGTGTGCAAGTTGAGAAAGTCCATATATGGCTTGAAGCAAGCTTCAAGACAATGGTTTGAGAAACTGGTCAGCTCCTTAATTGATATGGGTTTTGAACAATCAAAAAATGATTACAGCTTATTCATTAAGAGAAGGAATGGGTTTATTTGTGTAGCTGCAGTTTATGTTGATGACATAATTCTAACAGGAAATGATACTGATGATATGACTTGTTTGAGAAGTGATTTGCATAATAAGTTTACTATAAAATATCTTGGCAGACTTAGTTATTTCCTTGGGATTGAAGTTGGTTACACTTCTGATGGCAATCTGCTCAGTCAAAAGAAGTTTACCAAGGAATTAACTCTTAATTGTGGCTTACCTTTGAAGTCTAGAGCTGTTACACCTTTTCCATTGGGTCTGAAACTACAGCTTGGTGATCCTTTACCAGATGCAGAGCAATACAGGTCATTAGTTGGGAAGCTGAATTTCTTAACCCATACAAGACATGATTTGTCTTTTGCAGTTCAATCTTTGAGTCAGTTTATGCAACAGACTTATTCTTCTCATTTACAGGCTCCTATTCATACTCTAAGCTATGTTGCTAATACAGAAGGCCAGGGAATCTTGCTTAGAGCTTCTGATCACATCTCATTACATGCTTTCTTTGACTTGGATTGGGCTAGTTGTGTGGACTCCATGAGATTAGTCACTGAATATGTTCTTCTTGGGAAATCTATTGTTGCTTGGAAGTCAAAGAAGCAAGGTTTGGTATCCAAATCCTCAGCTGAAGTAAAATATAGAGCAATGGCAATATTAGCTTCAGAGGTTACATGGACAGTCAGGTTGCTTTGAGGAATTGGGTGTTTACAGGTTTAAGACCTGTCGCTTTGCACTGTGACAATCAATCAGCTTTGCATATTGCTCGCAATCTTGTATTTCATGAGCACATAAAGCACATTGAGATTGACTGTCACTTCACCAGGCACTACTAGAAATAGGCCAATTTACGACAGACCAGAAATCCGTCGGAAATTTTCGACGGAATTAAATTCTGTTGGAAATTTACGACGGATTTCCTACGGAACACAAATCCGTTGGAATTTATGGGTTTTCCGACGGAATATTCCGTCGGAAACTTAATTTTTCGACGGAAATAAAATCCGTCGGAAATTTCCGAGGGAATTTTCCGTCGGAAACCAAATGTTCCGACGGAAATAAAATCCGTCGGAAATTACCGACGGAAAATTCCCTCGGAAATTACCTTTTCCGATGGAATTTTCCGTCGGAACATAATTAAATAATTAAAAAAAAAAACAAACCTTACATTCTAACGGAATATTCCCTTGGAAATTACCTACCGACGGAATATTCCGTAGGAAAGTAATTCTTCCGAGGGAATTAATTCCGTCGGAACGTTTACCTAATTAAAAAAAAAAACGGATTTATAATTTTTTTTAAAAAAAAAACAAAACCTAAAACCTAAATACACGGACCACTACCTAAAACCCCCATTATCTTTCATCTCTCTTTCCTCACCCCGCCTCTCTTCTTCTTCTCTAACTTTCTCTCTTCTCTCTTCTTCTCTAGCTTTCTCTCTCCTCTCTTCTTCTCTAGCTGCATTATACTCCTCCATTTTTGACATATATCAAAACAATAATTGACATATATCAAGCTCCTCTTGTTCCTCGTTCCTCCTCTTGCGTTTCTCGGTTTCTCGGCGTTTCTCCTCCTGTCCAAGCAACGTTTGCTGATGGTTTGAGCCCAAGCAACTACGACATCGACTTCTCGTTCCTCCTTCAGATCTAGGTTTTTTTTTTTCTTGATTTTTGATTATTGTAATGTTAGATCTAGATTATAATTAGTTTTTGTTATAATTGTAATGTTATTTGATTAATTTTAGAAGATGATTGTATATTATTTATTTTGTTTGATTTCATTTTTTATTTTCGATTTGTGGTTTATATTTCGATTTTTTGTTGTTTTTGGCTGATTAATTTCAGAAGAAAATTGTAATGTTATTCGATTTTGGTAATTTTTTCGATTTTTGGTTGTTGTTTCAATGTTTTGGTTCGCGGGTGTGGTGGTGGGTGGGGGTGGTTCGGCGGTGGGGTGGTGTCGGTGGTGATGTGATTTTTAGTCTGAAAACTAAGCCTCACAAAGATATGAATCTATCCTAATTCTATACAGAAAATTCACCAAGAATTAAGCAAGAAACTTAGATTAATTAATCAAGAATCCACCTAATTAATCAACCTAGGTGATTGTTTTAACTAAAACAAACAAAACAGCAAATTGGAATCCACCAATCAAGAATTTAAGTAATCCAACTTAAACAAAAGCAATAAGAAATATTATTATGAATGTATGATTAAACTTGTATATTATTCGAAGATTACAACCCTATATTTATAGACTCAATCAATTATCCTAATCCCACTTGAATTAGAATTCTAATCCCCTAACAAAAACCTACGGATTGCATAACTTAATCAAGTTTAGATAACTTTGATTTAGTTATTTAATCCTACTTAAACTCTAACTACTCTTAAGATAAAACTTGCCTATTTTATCCTAACTCAAGCTTGCACTCCAAGCTATTATTGACGCCTACTAGACTAAAAACAATTCCTAATCAACTTAGGAACTCACTTTGCTAAAAACAAATCCTAATCAACTTAGAAACTTGCTTAGCTAAAACTAGTCCTAATCAATCTAGGAACTTATTAAGCTAAAACAATTCCTAATGCAATTAGAAATCCTAAGTGCTTAAAACAAGAAAAACCCTTTCAAGTGAAAGGTAAAAACTTGTAAGCAAAAACCTAAGTAAAGACTCACAAAATAAAACTAAGGAAAAGAAATCATTCTTTTCATATCTCCGCCTGAACACCACTTCACGCGCCACCACTTGTGACACGCGCCACATCACCTTGTAGCTAGGCTCCGTCCGGTGCCGGAAGACAGGAGCGTGGGACTCATCTCGGCGCGTGGTCGCCTGTATCGTCGCCGGAAGTGAGCTGCGCAACTTCTTCGTTCTTGGAAATCATGCTTCTTTCTTTCCAATTTAAGCTATTGAACCTTTCCTTGATTATTTCCTTGTTTGGGCAGCCTATAATGGAGTTGTTTAGACCATCTAAAAGTACATTAGATCTTTCAAAAGAATTAGCTTCTTGATTCGAATCATCCTCCTCTTCTTCAAAAGAATTTGCCCTCAAATTTACTTCATCAAAACAAGTAAAAAGGTTTTCAATAGTATATGTAGAATCTTCATCACCACTTTCAGTAGACAAGTCTTCTTGGCACTCACCATCTTCATAATTGTCATCTTCTTTAGCAAGAAAACATGTCTTAGGTCCTCTATCGATTTCTTCCTTGAATACTTTTTCTTTTAGAAACAAACTCGAACTACGATTAACATTTGAGCACTTACTCTGTCCTTTATGAGATAAAGGATGTAGACTAAAACGTTTGTTTCCAACCTCCACGGAATACACATTAGTCCTTCCATTAAATTTCACAAATCTATCATATTGCCAAGGACGGCCTAATAGTATATGACATGCATCCATAGGACAAACATCACATAAAACTTTATCATGAAATTTACCAATTGAAAAGGATATTAAAGCTTGTTTATTCACCTTGACATCACTCGAATTATTGAGCCAATGAAGCTTGTAAGGGTTTGGATGCTCGGTAATTGGCCACTCTAATTTATCTACCAAAGTAGTAGACACTACATTGGTGCAACTTCCCGTGTCTATGATCATATCACACAACCTATCTTTCACCTTGCATCTTGTTAGAAAGATTTTCTCCCTTTGATTGCCCTCAATAGACATAGGTTTTGAGTGTAGTGCTCTCCTTAGGACCAAAATTTGACCATGAGTCTCGGGTTCAATTTCTTCCATGTGTTCCTCCTCTTCTTCAAAGTTTTCTTCATCCTTTTCATCGTCACTACCTTGCTCACACATAGCCTGCTCTTGTTCCCATTCTTGAGCCGTCATGACCCTTTTAGAAGAACAATCACTTGCAATGTGACCAACACTACCACACTTAAAGCACTTCCTTCCTTCCACAAACTTCTTCTTAGTTTCGAATTTAGGTTTAGAATCTTTGTAATTCAATCTTGAACTACCCTTTTCCACATTAGCTTTCTCAAAAGGTTTTGAGAATCCTTTTATAAACGGTTTAGAGAATGAGCTTTTCTTCCCTTTTAATTGTTTTTCAACTTTGATAGCCACTTTACACACATCCTCAAAAGACCAATATTGTTGTAATTCAACTTTTTCAGCAATATTATCATTCAATCCCGAAATAAATCTAGCAATCTTATGTTCAAAAATCTCTTCTAAACCACATAGCATGCATAACTTCTCAAATTCAACAATATAATTCTCAACAGTCATAGAATTTTGTTTAAAAGTTTTCATCTTAAGATAGATATCTTGAATATAATCACTAGGAACGAACCTCTTTTTCATGTGCTTCTTGAGTTGCTCCCAAGTTGTGATTTTGTTACGCCCTTCTTTATGCCTCTTCTTTTTCAAATTATCATACCAAAGACTAGCATAACCAGTGAGCTTCAACTCCGCAAGTTTACACGTCTTTCTCTCATCATACTCCTTGTAATCAAAGAGTGTTTCGGCCCTTCTAATCCATTCAAAATATTTCTCTGGTTCATTCATACTCCCATTGAATTCGGGAAGGTCTAACCTAAGGTTTCTATCATCATCTTTAGGTCTATCCCTTCTCCTAGGTCTAGGTGAATCATCACTTGATGAATAATTCTTTCGTGACCTCCTAGGGTTTCTCCTTGGTTGTTCTTCCTCACTTGAACTAGAATTAGGGTTAGAATCACCCCTCTTTGAAGAAGATCCATCATGAGTATCAAGTCTCTTCAATACCTCCTCCAACCTTGCTGCCAATTCGGTGATTTGCCTATCTCTTCTAAGATTTTGCGCTTGTTCTAAGGTTAAACCCCTTGGAACTTGTGGAACCTCTTCGTCACTCATGATTCCTACACAAACCAAGTTAGTCTATGCGAAAATCTTGATTAAAAGATAAAATCTTGAAGGAATCTTGAAGCAAACAACAACCGGACTCCCAACCCGTATTCCAGTGAAACAACACCAAAAGTTTAAGGCTGTACAGAGTTAGTTACTCAACCAAATGCTACGAAATTTTAGGTGACGATAGCTAGACGTTTTTCGAGTCTAATAAAAAAAGAATCACTTAAAAATTCCAAGCCAAACGTTACCAGTTTAAATTCTACCGAAACTGTGCTCTGATACCAAGATGATGTGATTTTTAGTCCGAAAACTAAGCCTCACAAAGATATGAATCTAACCTAATTCTATACAGAAAATTCACCAAGAATTAAGCAAGAAACTTAGATTAATTAATCAAGAATCCACCTAATTAATCAACCTAGGTGATTGTTTTAACTAAAACAAACAAAACAGCAAATTGGAATCCACCAATCAAGAATTTAAGTAATCCAACTTAAACAAAAGCAATAAGAAATATTATTATGAATGTATGATTAAACTTATATATTATTCGAAGATTACAACCCTATATTTATAGACTCAATCAATTATCCTAATCCCACTTGAATTAGAATTCTAATCCCCTAACAAAAACCTACGGATTGCATAACTTAATCAAGTTTAGATAACTTTGATTTAGTTATTTAATCCTACTTAAACTCTAACTACTCTTAAGATAAAACTTGCCTATTTTATCCTAACTCAAGCTTGCACTCCAAGCTATTATTGACGCTTACTAGACTAAAAACAATTCCTAATCAACTTAGGAACTCACTTTGCTAAAAACAAATCCTAATCAACTTAGAAACTTGCTTAGCTAAAACTAGTCCTAATCAATCTAGGAACTTATTAAGCTAAAACAATTCCTAATGCAATTAGAAATCCTAAGTGCTTAAAACAAGAAAAACCCTTTCAAGTGAAAGGTAAAAACTTGTAAGCAAAAACCTAAGTAAAGACTCACAAAATAAAACTAAGGAAAAGAAATCATTCTTTTCATATCTCCGCCTGAACACCACTTCACGCGCCACCACTTGTGACACGCGCCACACCACCTTGTAGCTGGGCTCAGTCCGGTGCCGGAAGACAGGAGTGTGGGACCCATCTCGGCGCGTGGCCGCCTGTATCGTCGCCGGAAGTGAGCTGCGCAACTTCTTCGTTCTTGGAAATCATGCTTCTTTCTTTCCAATTTAAGCTATTGAACCTTTCCTTGATTATTTCCTTGTTTGGGCAGCCTATAATGGAGTTGTTTAGACCATCTAAAAGTACATTAGATCTTTCAAAAGAATTAGCTTCTTGATTCGCATCAGGTGGGCTAGGATTGTGGTGGGTCTGGGTGGGTAGGGCCGTAGGGGGGCAGGGGTAGGCTGGTGGGTAGGGGGGTGGTGGTGTGTGGTGGTGTCGGTTTAAGGGTGGTGGCAGGGGGTGGGCTGGTGGGTAGGGGGGCAGGGGGTGGGCTGGTGGTGGGTTTAAGTAAGGTGGGTGGGTGGGTTTAGGCTAGGGCTGGTGGTGGGGGTGGTGGGTGGGAGGCAGGGGTGGGGGCTGGTGGTAGGGGTGGTGGCTGGGGTGGTGCTAGGGGTTTTTTTTTATTTTTTTTAATTCCGTCGGAAGTTTCCGGCGGATTTGTATTCCGTCGGAAATTTCCGACGGACTTTCCGGTGACCGGAATTCCTCTTCCGACGACGGAAGTTCGTCGGAAATTCCGTCGGAACAGTGTTTTCCGACAGAAAAGGCCGTTTTCCTACAAAAGGTTTTCCGACAACCCGTACCGACGGAATTTCCGTCGGAAACGGCCTTTTCCGACGGATTTCAGGGTGTTTCCGACGGAATTTTGCCGTCGGAAATGGCCTGTTTTCTAGTAGTGAGGGACAAGGTGTTGGAAGGGTTGATCACTCTTGCTTATCTTCCTATTGGTGCTCAGTTAGCTGATTTATTCACCAAGACATTGCCATCACCTCAACTGCAAACTCTTGTATCCAAGTTGGGAATGATTTTCAGTCTAATTCATCTCCCACCTTGAAGGGGGTATTGAGAGTATACATATATACAAAGCAAGGTTGTTAGAGTCTCTGCCATGTCATCACAGAGTTTGTTATAGCCTGTGCCACATCAGCTTAGGTGGTTACAACACTTAGAGAAGTTTGTTATTTACTTCTTCTAGAATCTTCTTATTGTAATAGATGCTATAATATCTCCTTTGTTGTTAATCTATTCATTCACTCATAATAAAATAATATCCCAATTTCTATATATTTAGCCTTTTCTCTCTGGTTTTTCTCTTGATTTTTGTCACAAACTTTCATCAATACAAGGTATATTATACATTAACATCGATCATTTCATTAACATGAAAATTCTTCCTTGAGAAGTTTTGTTTCTAATGGCTTTCGATTAAGCGTTGCTTTTCTCTTATTTATATATTTATTTAATGTCTTTTTCTTTCTTTTTCTTGTATCTTTAGCTTTTGGTTATTTCTCGATTTCCTGTGATAGGGAAATCCATGAATTAGCAATTATCGAAGAGATTCTAGTTAAAATAAGCATGAAGCAATCAAATGTGAGATGTTAGAGAATTTTGTGACGTAATTTACATAAGTTTCCTAGATTATTTTTTGGCATGAAGAAATTAGATTAAAAGGGGGATAAGAGTGCAAATAAAGCCCTGTTCACTTCACTATATTTTGCAATATAATTTCAGTTTGGTTAAAATAATTTCAGCTCAGTAAAAATAAGTTCAGTTCGGTAAAATAATTTTAGTTTAGCAAAAATAATTTCAATTCAGTAAAAATAATTTCATTTTAGCAAAAACAAGTTGAAGTGAACTGGGGCTTAAGTATAATTATTTGCTCAATGTTGTTTATATTATATCTCTTAAATCTCTTTTATGTAGAAAAAACCTAAGTATAAGCTAATTATTTTATGGGAGGTAATAAAGCAATAAATAATCAAAATAAAAGAAGAGGTTGGAAAGCAAATGGAGAGGAAGATAAGGTATTGAGTTTGAGGGGATCGATTATTGAAAGGGGTATTTTATTCTAGACTTCACACCATATATTTTATCCAAAAAATAATAATACTTGATAAGCACACTATGTCGACATATTTTTGTTGACTAGTGCAAATAAGACCTAAATTTAGTTAGTAATTATCGAAATATCCTCGTTTAACGAATATAAATGACGACATTCTGTGTACATTTTTTTTTTAAGCTTTCCTTTCGGTCACAATTGCACAAATCAAAATCGAAAATTTATTCACACCCACAATTCTGTGCCTTACCCGTTACCTATATTCTGTATATGTTTTTCTCGTAGACTTCGGATTCATATTTGTTTCTCAGTAAAAGTTTACTCGTGTCACTATCTTTTATGAATAATAATCCTAATAACTTTTCCATTATATAAATAAATAAATTTAAAAAAATAGTTTAAATTCATCTAAACTAGTAACGGTGTGGGTAAAATAATAGCAACCAACTATTTGCAGTTAATAGTGCCACCTTTTGTACTATATATGTGTAAAATAGTACGTCGGCCATCGATGAAGGTATATTGAGGAATATTCTGTCAATATTCACTATTATATTATTTTGATAATATATTTTATATTTTTTTTAAACAATATATTTTATATTATTTATAATATATTTTATATTAAAATATTATAATTAATATTTTATATTAAATATTACTTTTTTTTCAAAATACATTTTATGTTAATATTCCCTTACTAGCTAAATTAATAATGTTCCACCTCTTTCTTTGTTAGGCTAGTAAGTTAAATTTTGTAGAGAAAAAAATTTCTACTATCACACTAAAGTAATAGGGTATTCAAATGCATTATGATATCAATATAATTGGTTTAAATTTTTGATCTAAAAACCAAAATTAACTATAGCCTAACAATAAGGGAGCATTATTAAATCGGGTAAGGAAATTATAAAGATAATACTTCCTTTGTTTTTCATATTTGCAACACACTTTTTTGATTCTCTATATGAGAAAGTGATTAGACTATGTAAATGGATGAAATATGCTATAAAATTTAAATTCTAACAACTCATCATTTTCTTCTTATTGGTGGTAAAATTTTGTTAATTAATTTGTCTATTTATCTAGTCTAATATCTCCTTAAAGTTTTATGTACAATGATAATATAATGGTTAATCCTTTCATCTCCTCGGCCCCTGAGTGATGGGGGTTTGATTCTCATCATGTCCCCCTCCTGTGATAGATAGGAGGAGGCTTTCCGTATCTTACTAATCAAAGATTAAAAATCTTATACTATGACCCTTTTTATTGACTTCGTTTACTTTAAGGAAACAAAACTAAGAAAGTCCTACCATAATAATTGCTACTCCTAAACGAATGAAGTAGAAAAGACGGATAACAAATCAAATAAAAGCTCCTTTGTTTAGTTCGATTTCTAATTAAAAAAATCTCTACTCTTTGCAACTCTCTAAAAGAAAGAAAAAATAATCCCCATTTTAAAGAAGGCAAAATCCTAGTATCAATATTCAAAAAAGGCTATGTCATATGGAGAAAGATCTTTCTACCTCTTTTTCTATTGTGTCATTGGTCTCATCCTCTTCTCAAGCGCCTTGGTCGCAGGTGCAAATTGCACCTGCGACCATGAAGAACTAACTCACAACTCTAAAAGTGTTACCCTAAGATATAAACTTGGGGCGATTGCTGTCATATTGGTAGCAAGTGCCCTAGGAGTTTCCCTCCCTATTGTAGGGAAGAATTTCCTCGCTCTTCACCCTGAGAGCGAGATATTCTTCCTTATCAAGTCATTCGCGGCAGGTGTGATTTTATCCACGGGGTTTATTCACATACTCCCCGATGCCTTTAAGGACCTCACAAACCCTTGCCTTAGTGAAAAACCTTGGAGGAATTTCCCCTTCACCGGGCTCTTCGCTATGGTGGGGGCCCTCGGAAGCTTGATGATTGACGCTTATGCCACGGGTTATTATCGTAGGATGCACTTCGGAGAGGCTGCCCCCTCCGATACTACTGACAAGGAGAATGGTGGCGCGCATGCGGGACATGTCCATCTTCACTCTCACGCTACACATGGTCATGCTCATGGCTCTGGTCCTCCAGAGGGGTTGTCTGAGTTGGATCGTATAAGATACAAGGTTACCTCACAGGTAAATTCATCTTAACTTACACTGATGATAGTTATGATTCATGAATATATGGTACGGAGTGTAATTCCATTTAATAGAGTTGTATAATGACTAATTGATGAAAAATAAGTGTTAGTCAAGTTTTGTGATGATTAAATTAACTTGTGCTATACTTGATATATGTATGTTGTAGGTTTTGGAGATGGGTATTGTTGTTCATTCGGTGATTATAGGATTATCATTGGGTACTTCTCAAAGCATTGATTATATCAAGTCTCTCATGGCAGCTTTGTGTTTTCATCAATTCTTTGAGGGTGTCGGACTTGCTGGATGCATAGTACAGGTATGTTTTAATTAGTCAAAATTATTACAACTATTTTTTTTCCTGTCTTATTTTTTCGAATTTGTATGACCTGACTTTGAAAAAATAGGAAATTTAAAGTCACACTATTTATTATTATTATTATTATTATATCCATCTGATTATATATACAAATATACCATATACGAGTATTATATGTAAAAGATACTTTATATGTCCAGATTTGATTGTTATATAACTATATCGTCTAAAGTAAATGATTTTACCATGCTACTATAATACCTTTTTATATATCGATGTAGTCGTTTTTTGTTTACATGTTCACCTCACCATTCCAAATGGGAATGCGTTACAATATTGGAGCATAATATATTTCATTGTAGGCAATACTAGTACTAATAATAATTTTCCCAAATCGAGCTTTATTGGTAAATTATTTACCAAATTGGTCTCGTGGGAAAAGTATTTCCCAAACTAAGCTTCTGGGGTGAAACGCTGTCTCGGACAGCGTTTTACACCAAGTTTTTTTAAAAAAAAATTCAAGAAGTAAAACGCTGTCTCAGACAGCGTTTTACCTTGTTGACCTGTTGGTATGTATTTTGGCAAAATATACTAGTATATTTTGCCAAATTATACTGGAATATGTATATGGGCTTTAAAACGCAGCCTGAGGTAGCGTTTTATTTGAAGCATAAAACGCTGCCTGAGGCTGCGTTTTATGTTAAAGCATAAAACGCTGCCTCAGGCAGCGTTTTTCTGCTAGACTGCATTACCAGCAGCATCTGCTACACTACATCACCAGCAGTTTCTGCAATCTGCTGCTGCCCCTACACATAACCCTCACCCAGCAGCATCAGCTCAGCCCCACCATGAACCACCACCCCCACCACCATCCACCACCATCAACCACCTCCCCCCACCACCACCGGCCGCCACTCTCGACCACCCCTATGCAATGCAAAACACCCTAAACAACGCAAGGACATTCCCACCACCCCCATCATTAACCACCACCCCCACCACCATCAACCACCTCCCCCACCACCACCGCCCGCCACTCTCAACCACCCATAAACTACCATAAAACACCCTAAACAACGCAAGAGCATTCCCACCACCAGCCCCAACCTTTCCACCACCATCGACCACCACCAACAACCATCAAACACTGGAAACAACCCTAACAGCATGATAACCATCGTGAAACAGCACTTTAAGTGCAGGAGACCAAATATATGTTGCTTGATACATATAACGGATATAAAAGATATAGTTTCACTAACAAAAGTCAAATTCGGACAAATAAGGGAAATAAACTTCAAATTGTACAGAGAGTCATTTAGAAAACATTTCTTGTATTAATAATGTAAGCGTTATATACAACATTGTTAAATATCTGAGTATCACAAAAGGATCAACTAACTAATACTATCCGGACTCATGTATTGGAGTTAACTGATCTCCATCCTGTGTGTCCTCCGTCTGTCTACGAACACGCCTCGGACGCCTCGTGTAATGCTGAATGGTGGTGAATGGGTCTCGGGACGATGGAGGAGTCAGCTGGCGAGACGATGAGTCACCCTGGCTGTGGCCGGGAGCGGTGTTATGGATGAAGTAATCCTCTGCCTGTGTAGAGCCCGAAGTATGACCTCCACCACTACTCTGTCCGAAGTCGAACTGTGAATGGAAGGAGTTGGGGTCATGATCGTCCCTGGGGTGGACGAGATGGCCATGGCCATATCTTTGCAAGCTATGTATGCCCATATCTCGCACCCGCTCAACCTGGGCTCTAGTGGGTACGGCTGCTAAGGCATCTGAAAGTGCATCAACCATCGCACCCATATCCCCCGCCTGCAGTAATCATCCATGAATTAGTAATATGATATAGAATTTCAAATAATTTTGGAAAACAAGAAACTGAAAAAACTCACAAGTCCGCTGATAACATCATAAGCTGGATGGTAGTGCGTGGACGGTGGGGTGTAGGTAGGGTTGATGAAAAGGCGTGTAATCTGCCTGTACCATACCATGTAAGGATCACACGGATCCATAACACCCTGAAACAGGTGACCGTCAACGATGGACTCCAACCGCTGGTCCCAAAGCTCAATGAATTGATGATGCTCCAGTGCCCAGTTTGTCTCCAACTTTCCACGACGGTCAATGCCGTGGAGGCGAATACTAGTGTCACAGGGCATGGGGATAGGCTGGTGAAGTCCGAACTGTCGCAACACTCGGTCCGGTAGGTGGATCTCCACGACCTCAAAACAGATCATGGGGGTCCTGGCAAGCCACTCAGCACGATGCTCGAGCAAGTGTTCCGGCATGGCCTCTACCAACACAGCAGAATAGGGATCCCATGTCATCTGCAACAAGGATATATTGTGAAAAGAATAGGGCAATGCCAATAAACAGTATAAAGAGTAAACAAACGATTACAAATGTAGTGCAAGATTCCACCTGTTCATCCGAGAGTCGATCGAGGGCGTCACGGTAGTAGAGAAGACCTCTCGCTGTATGCGCATGTGTTAGTCTGGGAACCACCCACCTGTGGCAACAAATTATTTAAGAAGTTGTACTAGCTAATTATAACAAAATTTGAGTACACAAGTATAATATTACGAACCTACAACCGTATGCCTGATCGGGTTCAGGGAGCGGGGGAGCATCGTATGCTGCGTACTGATCGTCCTGGTCCAGCTTCCCTGGACGGTGTACAACAGGCCTACCTGGTCTCCCTACATGGATGTGCTCCCAAGCCCAAAGCTGTTTTAAAAATCAAATAAAAGGTAAAGCATAAATAACGTCAAGTCATTATCAGACTAGGCTTAAGGATAATGATGAGGTTTACCTGTAGCACAACCAAAGGACCTCCAATCAGCTGTGCTCCACGCTGTGATGCTCTACACAGATGGCGATACAAGACCGCCAAACAAGCACTACCCCAACTGTATCCACGGATCTCATCCCAGTCGTGGTCTAACAGCTACAGGTAAATAATCTGAAGATGGCTTCCGCTCTTGTTTCCAAAGAGCACGCCTGAGATGAGCAGGAACAAGTAAGCTCGGGCGTATCTCTGCACTGTGGCGTCGTCAGCGTCCTGAGGTAAATGTCCAAAACTGTCGCGTAGCCAACCGGTCCTCAGCGCGCTGCCCCTGATCTCGTTTGGCTCTGGCTGAACCCCTAAAACCCGACCTATTAAACCTGCGGGGTCAAGTACCACACCCCCTGTCACCGCATTCCCATGGATGGGAAGGCGTGTGAGTATCGCGACGTCCCGCAGCGTGACTGTCGCCTCCCCCACAGGAAGATGGAAGGAGTGTGTCTCCTGCCTCCATCTCTCAACTAATGCTGTGATAAGCCCTCGATCTATTTCTCTGTAGCCCACGCGATGAATACCACCAAAGCCAACCCAGTCGACGTACTGAAGAACGCGTGGATCGACTGCCCAGCCGGACCTCAAGTGCCTGCACCCCAACATTTCCGCTATGTCCACCTGGTAATTCATTTAAAAACTGTAAATAAGGGTCAAGTATACAAAAAAACAAGACAAATCTGTATATGAAATGGCACGTGAGAAATTACCGTCTGCTCCCATATGTCAACACTCCGATGTTTATCCTGCAGTGTAAGGACAGAAGGGTCAAGTGGTCCTGGTATCCGATCGTGTCCGACCATGATATCTGTTCATTCAAAACAATATGGCCAAACCAATTAAAAAACAGAATTACTAGTCAATGAAATTGACATGACTGTCACAGGTAAAAGACAAGTGTACTCAACATTTGATCCATCGCACATAATTTCACCTCCCCACCGGCATAACAACACTACATTTTGTGAAGCCATATTCTATATACCAACCAAAACACATTTAAGGATAATCGAATTCTAAAACAACGTCAAAAAACCCTAATTTAACAATACATAACATACATAGCTTCGATAATGGAAAGTTATATCAAATTTCGAGAACCTACATGTGTAGCTAATATGACAACAATGAAACAAGTCCATTCTCATTATCAACATTTTCATCACCAATTTCATAAACTCTTAGTACCGCATACAACTATCAACATACTAATACCGCATTACCATAAACAATTTTATCATTTTTTTCACAATAATAGACCACATTACCATCAACAATTTCATCAAGAATTTCATCAAAAACAAACCACATTAACATTGACAATTTCATCAACAATTTCGTCGACAATTTAATCAACAATTTCGTCTATATTTTTCCTCAACAATGTACCACATTATCATTAATAATTATCAACAATTTATCACATTTCATTACTAATTAGCAACAAATTAATACAATTTACATCACAATTTGCTACAACATACAACAACTATCTACTACCAACTATTCAATGTAAAATTCAACAATGTACTACGAATTTAGGGTTTACCCGGATTTAAAGAGTGAGTGAGACAGTGCCGGCAACAACTTCCGTTCACTTTGGCGGCGGCAGGGGCGGCGGCACGGCAGGGGAGGCGTTGGCAACGGCTGTGGTTCTTTGTTGCTGACAATGAGAGTTAGTGAGAGAGAGAGTGTAAATTGCGTGAAAGAGATTGAGAAAAAAAGGCCTGGAATTCGTTATAATTCCCGCAAGAAACGCTGCCTGAGGCAGCGTTTAATGTACAGATAAAAACGCTGCCTCAGGCTGCGTTTTATGCTTGTACATTAAACGCTGCCTGAGGCAGCGTTTCATTTAAAGATATAAACGCTGCCTCAGGCAGCGTTTATTTGTATAAAACAGGTATGAAATACGAAGTTTTTGAAAAAAGTCAAACTACCATAAAACGCTGCCTGAGGCAGCGTTTTATGTCTTGAATTTTTTTTTAAAAAAACTGAGTGTAAAACGCTGTCCGAGACAGCGTTTCACCTCAGAAGCTTAGTTTGGGAAATACTTTTGCCACGAGTCCAATTTCGTAAATAATTTCCGTATAAAGCTTAATTTTGGAAAAAATCCTAATAATCTAGTACTCGTACACAAGGAACAATATTTAATGAACTAAGTTTTGTATGGTTGTCGTACTGTCTTGTTGCGCAAACTAAAAAACAATTGAACATGTGGCTTGTTAGGAACTAGGAAAATAGAATGCTTGATTGATGAAAACGACGTACTAGTCATGTTGACTGTTTGTTCGCAACTCTATTTATAAAGGACATGTACGACTAATTCAACGTGTGTTAGGTTGTTTCGTAGGAAGTTTGCAAACCACACCTAATGAGTTATCATTTTTTGAAGTATGTATCCAATTTTTGTTTTGTCGGTTTTACAGAGAGCCATAAAATGCACAATGTTATATATAGACAAATTTTGAACCATCCTATGACTTTAACCAACTAAGTTAATAGCCACTCATTGTCAATTTGTAAAACTCTACAGGCATCTTTCAAATCAGCATCTACGTTGTGTATGGCATTGTTCTTTTCCCTGACTACTCCGGTAGGAATTGCAATCGGAATCGGACTTAGTATGAGTAATGTTTATAAAAATAATAGCCCAACTGCACTAATCATTCAGGGTTTGTTGAACTCAGTCGCGGCGGGAATCTTGATTTACATGGCACTTGTTGATCTTCTAGCTCAAGATTTTATGAGCCCTAAGTTGCAAACCAACACTAGGCTTTTCTTTGGAGTAAATCTTACTTTGCTACTTGGTGCTGGTTTTATGGCTGTCTTAGCCTATTGGGCTTGATTTATCTTATGTTTGATTTTCTTATACCTTTGCTTAGTTTTAATTTTTAGTTTGGTTTATTTCAAATTTGTAATTATCATTCCTATAATTTTCATAACATCATATGCATGTATTATTCTCGCTGTAAGTTTTTTATGGAATCGAAATGTTCCCTAAAGTTTATTGAACGAGCCATAGCATTTTAAAGTGATGCATGATTTGATTAAAAATATGCGGCATTCAATCAAAATATCTATGCTAGATCGTCTTTTTAACCCTATATCAAATGGTCCTCCTTTTGTGATATGGGGTCCATGATACAAAGTATATATGTGTTGTTGATATCATTGTACCATGATTTTATGGGTATCGTGGTACATTTGGTAATCAGCGTTCCAAGGATGGAGCTATGCACAAAGCAATGGGCCGATTGGTCCCCTAACTCCTTGGAATCTTGTTATTACAAACAAGTAAAGAATTTTAAAATGAGAACTTACAAAGGAAATGAGAAGAACAAAAAGGAATAGAATGAACACTTCATAAGGGGTTATAGAGTACACGGACTTTGAAAACCTTCGGTACACATGCCTTATAAAAGATGGTCCAAGAATTTCTGTGTGCATTTGTTACTACAAAAATAGCACTATCGCATCCTCTTTGTGAGAATCAAAGATAAAAATAAATACGAAGTATAGATGTAATAATGTAGTCAAAATAATAGGGGAATTATTGTAAGTCAAAAGTTACAAAGTTTGGTATTAGATGCTTGCTATTTTGCAATATGGTCAATAATAACTTCTATAAGTCCACATTTGATGTTTTGATGGTCATGCTTATGTGATGCCCACGATGTGTATCGTACTATCGTCCATATGTATAAAGTGTTCATATTGCGAACAGCATTTTGAGCACTTAGTTTGGGCCAATCTTAGGTTATAGATTATACTAAATTGTTTGAATCCCTTATAATTAAGGATATGACATGATTTTACGAGAAGAATCCTTTGAATAATTGTTATTCATATTATCTTTCTATCACTTTATTTAATAAGTTAGTGGTTCATTCTGAAATTCAAACACAAAGCAATACTATTTTAAGAAAGATAGTGACGTATTCGAACATCCTCAAAAAATTGGTATGACTGACTAGAAATTTAGAATAGAGAGATCATTCTACAGAGTGAAGCTCTATGAACAGTGGGTGTGAGTCATTTACTCATATTGTTTATTTGGGTTATTGTTTTACTTCCAGCATAAGCAGGCATTAATGTACCTTCACAAATCGCAATAATGGTACCCGGGTTTACAGTGATCACAGGCTGTAGCGAGCTTGCCTCAACATAAGAATATCTGCAAAATCTGTGCCTTAATCTGTTAAGAATTCAAAGATTCTAGATTTCTAGGTAATGTTGTAAACAAAAGGTCTCTAGACAAAGGCATCTCATAATCTATCTACCCTACAAAACAATTACTTTACATCTTCATCTGCAGTCTGCAGAAACTGTTCAATTTCTGCTCAAGTAAACTACAGATTACAGAGTTCTGAAACTGTTGCAAGACTTGCAACCATTATCAGGTTGAAAATTTATTCTAAGTACAATCTAGCTATAAGCCTATAATCCAGTACCTACTAGTCAGTGGTATTCACAAATCGCAACAGAAGATGAGTCTTTGGCATGATAGTTCTTCCCGAGTAACCAATTCTCACTCAAACAGTCGCTAAGGCTTTGGTCGAGATATAAACTGGACCCTTTTTCAACTTTTTCCGAGCAGCAAACTGATGAATAACATCTTGAATCCCAGCAAATGCAATTAAGAATTCAGCTGCATCAACCTGGTTAAGTACCTTCTTCATAACAAGCTCCAATACTTTGTTCCTATAACATTTCAATATATATTGTAAGGATGTTTGTAATAAAGAAACAAATTCAATTAATTATTCTAGTTGGGAAAAGAAAAAGGAAGAAGAGTGTAGATATGAACCTAAGTTGTTGGGACTTGGTTATCACTTGCTTAATCTTCTTGAGCTGAGACAAAACACAGTCCCATGGACCTATGGATGAGCTTCTGGCCTGATTACTTTGCTTGAATGGAAGGTGGAGGATACATGTAGCTTGAATCTCAACCATTTCTTCATCGATTATAGCCTCTTCAATGCGGATTTCACGAATGAGCTGTGAGAGGATCCGGCCAATCTCAGCCGAGTCAGCAGTGGAAGAAGAGAAATAAGAGGAACGCGCCAAAGATCTTAGGAGATCTAGGATGGCTGACGGTCTCCAATCCCCCAGCCAGCCAACAGCAACCATTTCAAGTGGTGGGGTCCATAAGGGTGCTAGCAATTGGGAGACATCCTCGATCTTGGTAGGGACCACACCCTGGTTATAGTGCTTGAACTGTTTATCTATTAGATCCTCTAAAGCCCACCCTGCCTTCAGCTGCCTCCTTATAGTTGCTGCCTTATTCTTCTGTTCTTGGCCTTCTTGCCTCCCTGATGGTCCTTCTGATAACCAAGTATTATTCATCAGCAAGAAAATTTCTACATCTTTACCAATCATATCCTTAAGGCCAATTTGAACAAGAGACAATACAATTATATGTCCTGATTTAATATAATGGTATTATTTGAAAAAATACTTCATACTAAGCATACTAGGTTTGTTATTCATAGCCAAGAGTGTTGAGAAACTCGAATCACCATATGATAACCATGCCTATGCTATTGCTTCTGCTAGAAATTTCAAGACTGCTGCAAGTTTTGCTTTAAAACATGACCGTTGCTGATGAATGTAGGACAAGTCTGGGTTCAAGAATATGCATGATATCATCTACATACCCTGTATGATGCCAGTGTCCTTTTGGAATGGACAGATATTCAGGATTTTATAGGCCAAGATTAAAATTGGATGGACATTGATTAAGAATTCCTGAGACACACATCAAAGGCGCGTTTGGCAGACAACATGATACAGCAACAACAGGTGAGTGTCACATAATTACATTAATTCTCATTAGATCTCCTTGTGTACTCCGTACAAATCAATGTTAATAAAATAATAAAGCTGACATGTTGAACATGTTAAACAAATTTTCAAGAGTTATGAATGATTTCAGTATACGAACTGGGGAGCTACACACCATCATCTATCTAGAACAGTAGAAATACTATGAAGTATTATGTGTAATTTGATAGCAAAGATTTGTATACCTCATTATTTCATTCATCAGGACTAATTACCACCTCATAATGTGGCTATTACTCTATTAGCCATGTTGGAAATTAATACAGAAAACAATGTCTGTTAAAGTAGATACACTATGTAAGATGCATCAAAACACACTTCAAGTTCAAACTACAGTCAAATTTTACTAGTTCATCATACATCACCTATTCACCTCATCCCAAATGGAACATAATGAAACTCAAGTTTGCCAACGAAAATGTAGTTCAATAGTGAAACTTGGAATTTCAGTCTAAAGCGAGAGAGTGAGACAATAAATTCAGTGGTCTTAATCAAGTTCACATACACCAAAATCAAACAAATCCAAGTAAAACAACAAAGCTGAAAATCATATCACAAAGTGCATCGATATCAATACAGTCATTGGTACTAAAATAAGCAAGAGAAGATTCATTTTACACACAAGAAACTGCACTACCCAATCGGACCAGTGACCACCCTATGAAACAAATATTACCTTTCAACCTTCCATGAAAAGAATTCTGTTTTTACTATCAATTTCCAATTGAGGCCATCTGAAATCATGCAGTAACTATCAGATTATGCTTCAGTTGGCTAGTTACCAAAACTTGAGCACATTGCCTTCTATCTTTCACAATCATTTAGTTGCCGAAAAGGCGGTATAGCCAGCCTTGACTCTTGATAATTTTTTAGCCACACCAATAAGATTAACAATCAAGATAAACTTAAAGTGTACTTCAATTCAAGTAAATTCAAACCCTAATCCATAATTTCATTTATAATGAGACTAATCAGAATTAAACCAAGAAAATTCAACAAAACACAAATAACAACAAAATTAACTAAATTGCATAATTTCAAAGCAACCCAAAAAAATGAAGAGAAAGAAAATGAAGGTTACTTTTGTGAGAATGGCGACGATGAGAGTAAAGGGTGATGCAACGAACTCTGGCATTTGAATCATCGTCGTCGTCATCAATGGTGTTGCGAATAGCTTTGCGAAACTTCAAGAACCCATCATCGTCTTCCTCTTCTTTTGATTCAACATCATTATCATCAAATTTGCTGCAACCCCATTAATTAAAATTCAATCAAACAAAGATTTAAGCAATTGAAATGATAAATACGATCTGGGGTTGATTTAATTTCTGAAAAAAGTTAATGTATAAGTTGCTAAGAACACTTACATTGAGGGGTGAGTTGAAGAAGTTCTACTCATCTTGAAATTTGTGATTTGGGATGAAGGTGGAATTAAATTTGAAGAATTGTTTGCATTATTAGCGTTTTAATGGAGGAAATGTTTGAATGCAAGAGAATATTGGAGGCTTTGAGAGGTGGAAGTAGAAATTGCTCTTATATAGTTACCGGATCAAGGCTTAGAAAAGTCAAGAATCAATAAACAACTACTCCACTCTGACGCCTTATTGAATTTATCGCGTTTTGAAAACAAACTAGTCTTATAACCCGTGCAACCTGTAGCTGAAGCAAATAAAAAGAAGGCAGTGAAAAAATATACTTGGTTAATGTGAGAAAAGAAATGGAAAGATAATCTAAATGAAACAGTAGTCCACAATTAATGGACTAAAGAACATTCTTTGTAAAATAGGTTCACATAAGTTTTAATAATGGTTAATAAATTCAGATAAAATAATTTCAACAAAAATAAGCTATAATATGTTTTAATAAGGGTTAACAAGGGCTATTTTAGCTAATATATTCAAATAATTTATAGTACAAGATTAGATAAGTTTAAATAAATTCATATAAGTAAAAATTAAGGGTTTGTTTGGCATTGTTTTTTATTTTCAGTTTTCAATTATTTTGAAAACAAAAAACCAAAAACATGAAACAAGAAAAAGGTGTTTCCACTATTCTATTGTCAGTTTTCAAAATTATCATGATTTTAATAAGTTTGACTAATTTTTTATTCATTATATGACATATATCATATGATTTAAAAAACAAAAAACCAAAAACCAGAAAACCATAGTGATGCTAAACGAACCCTTAATAGAAAATATTCTAGATTTGCTACCTGTGCTAGAAATTGGTGACACAGCATAGATAGCAATTAGTTCACAAGATAAAAAGGATTACTAGCTGCCCCGTATCATGTCACTGAAAACTAGCACGAAACTTGCAGATCCAACAGCTAGAAGTTTAATTGGATAACCTTGCGTTTGTGCATATTTTACAAAAGGTGAAGGTAGGTAGAGGAGAGTGTGTGCATGAAATCAACTTCTGCCCTAACAAACTAAGAGATGCTAGTTGGATGACTTCAGCACATATCTATAGAGAAGGCAATCACGCGGTGGATCCACGGAGTCATTCAAGCCACAAGAATTTGTTTAATTCAATTGGTTCCTTTAGAGCTTAGTAGGATTTTAGAGGAGGATATTAGGGGCGTAACCTTACCTCGTCTAGTCCCTCCATAGACCGTAGTCCCCTTTTCTTTTGTTTGTTTGTTTTTATGTTGTCTTTTTTCTCCATAGAATTTCTTCCTCATTTAAATTATTACAAAAAATATATATATTTCACCCCTTAATATTCGAACCACCAAACATATTAAATGTATTAAAAACTTATGTAGGTTATAGTTTTAACCAAGTTACAGATCAAAATAACATAAATTTGACCCATACATCCATGATCCACCCGTATCTTTTTTTTTTTTTTTTTAAAAAAAAACAAAAGTTCTAGGTTATTATTTAAATTCCAATAACATTTGTATTACATTAAAAATAAAATTCATATCAAAATTTCTTAAAATTACTTGTTTGGTTATCAAGACTCGAGACTTTTTAAAAATTTATTTGGTTATCAAGACTCAAGAGACATTTTTTTTTTAAGAAACTCAAGAGACATTTTCAAATCAAGAGAATTTGAGTCATCAAATGAGCTATAATTCTCGCGAAATTCCCACTCTTCTCCTTCGCTCAACTGCTGCTACCGCCGTCTCCTTCGTTCCTTCGGTCAAGTGCTGCTACCGTCGGCCTTCTCTTTCCCGCCGAATGCAACAAGTTTAGGGCTATTTTCGGCAACACTTCCGCAATTACTTTGAATCGGATTTTAAGTGAGTTATTATTGTAGCTTTAATTCATGACATTATCGAATGGGAAATTCATCCTAACAAAACTAAATTAAAATTTGAAATTTGCTTCTATAACTTTAAGTTAATGCTCTAAAGCAATAATCAATTACTTGCAATTTAACTGGAATTCGATTGATTTAAGCTGAATCAAAGCAGTAGTATTTTTATCAATTTATATAATGGTACATAAGTCAAGTTTAGTTTACAGATATTGATATGATTGTAAACTTCTCTAGTGTGTAAATTAAATCGCTAACTTCATTATTGTGTATATTGAAGTATCTGATGACTAAATATTCTAATTTTGTAACCAGAGCCGTTTTTGACATTTTGGAGGCCCAAGCCAAAATGATAATTAAAAAAATCATTTATTTATATAATTGTTAAATAGTTATGTAATTTTTTAATTTATAAATAATTTATATAATTTGTTAAATACTTTCTCCCTTTCTTTAATTGCACCATTTCGACATTTTCATTTACACTTCTCTTTTGACCTTCTTTTGTGATTTATCCGTTAGAAAAAAAATATAATTAAATATCATATTTTTATATTTATTTAAATAAATAATTACTAATCATCAATAAATAATAACCAATCAATAATCCATAAGTATATATTTCAATAACTATATACTTAATGACACGCTAAAAAAATTCGTGTTGATTCCTGGTGTGATAATGCACCATTCTTTTTTTGCCTTTTTTGTCATTCTCGTATGGAAAATATATGTGTAAAATAGAAATGCACTTACTGATGATTAGTAAAAGAAAAGTCTAATATAATAAAATAGTGAAAAAAATAACCACAATAAGTCGAACTTTAGGTGATCTTCCAATATTAAGTCAACTTTAATTAATTAAAAAATAAGTGTCTATATTCATAAATAATTTAAGTACTAGATTTGACTTGTGACCGGTCAAACAAGTCATCAATTGACTTTTACTATAATTAACTTTCAATTGAATAAGAATTGACTTAATTAAAAATAAAATATAGCTTAATATTAATTTTAAATACAAAAATTATTTTTAATTTTAATTTAATAAATAATTTTTTAAAAAGATTGGGGTGTCAGGTTTGGTGTGGAGGGTTGGGTGGTCATAGGTTCGTGCCGACTAGAGTGGGTGGGAGTTGTGTGGGTTTGATCGATCGGCTAGGTTAGGGTTAGGTGGGAGTTCGCCGCATAAGTGTGGTTTGAGAGTAAGGGCTGGGGTTTGGGTGGGAGTTCGCTAAATAAGTGGCCGGGGTTCGAGAGTTAGAGTTAGGGTTTGGGTGGGTGTTCGCTGGACTGGTAGAGACACTAGGGTGTAAAGTCAAAATGTATCTAATAAAAGGAACAGATGGAGTATTAGAGCAACTCCAATGGTAAGCTAATTAGCAAATTAGCTTTTTAGGCCACGTAAGATTTTAAAGCTAATTTTTTTTGTAGCTAGTTTGTGCCCTGTGTTTTCCAGAGAGAAGAAGAATCTTACATGCATGCGTTAAAAGATTGCAGTTTAGCCTGAACAATTTGGAGTAAGTGCAATTATTCTATGGTTTTGTCTCACTCTCTTGGTAGTATGGGTGACTGGTGGGAGCACTGTTTTGGTAATTTTGGAGAGGATATGGTGAGTTTAATTACCATGTGTTTGGCTATGTGGGGCGTAAGGAACAAATGGATGATTGAGGGTGAAAATCCGAATGTTGAGCAAATTGTTGCCTATGCTTTGAAGATTAATACGAAGGGGCATGAGTTGCGAAAGTTGAATAACATGGGGAATAGAGGGGTGGAAAGAGTGATAATCTGGTGGTGATTGAGGCAATGAGGAAGCGTTTGTATGGCTCCAATTCCTTTCATCTGATTATAAAGGATATTCTAAATTTTTGTTTCTTCTGATTTTACTAGTGATCCATGGTCTTTTGTAAAGCGAGAGGGTAATAATGTAGCACACAAATTGACTTACTTTCAACCATGGGAGTTTGCCCAATGGGTGTGGAGTGATGTAATCCCTCCTCGCATTTTGGAAATTTCTTCGGTTGATCTAGATGGTTTTTTTTTTCAAAAAAAAAAAAAAGGTATTAAAGTTGTCACTTTCAAAGTTATTCACTAATAATTTTCTGTTTTACACAGATCACTAATCAACTCATACAATTCTACACTTGCTAGTCTGCAACTGCATTTACAATAAAATGTAGGTGACCGTCAGCTAATGTTAAAACCGCAAAAGTAACACTACCTATACAGTTGCATAATTCACACTTCACATGACACAATTAATTTGTCATAATGGCCATGACAAAAGAGTCATCCTAAACACATTTTTTTTTGAGGAAAACTCATCCTAACCACATTTAAGATATGATAACTTGTAATTGATTTATGTTACCATACTTTCCTTTCGTTTGTTGTAAATTCAGTTTAATTAATGTAATTTCAGCCGTTTTCAAAATTAAAAAAATAAATAAATAAATAAAATTATACAAGCTTTGGTGTGTGAAGATAGTATTTGAGAAATGGAAGTGTAAAGATAAACTAATAATCCGTACTTTTTAAAATAGGTTTACTCTAAACTCTTATAAAGTCTGCCTGCCCCATAATTAGACGATCGTATAAAGACTCAGCCCATTTATTTATTAGACGGATCTAACCCATTAATAACTGTGGCGGGTCATGGGTCATGGCTTTTAATAGGGATTCAAGGCGTCCAACCCATTGAATTGCTCTATTGAAGCGCATTCAACGTTCTCCATTGAAGCGCAGTTGCCGTTCTCTGTCGAATCTAGTTCATGTATCCCCCATTGAAGCAGCTTCTGAGGTAAGTTGTTTGTATTTGTTATCATCATATCAAATATCACTAAAATTATGAGATAATTGAATCAAATATCCCTAAAATTATGAGATAATTGAATCAAATTTGGTTGCTAATGTATTGCACAACACTTTAATGTTAGCATTCAACTATGAAATCAGAGCTCTTTTCCCTGGGCACAGGGCTGCCGCCCCTCCTGCCCTTCCTCAGGGACGGGCCTATTTGTGACCAAATAATTAACTGTATTAATTCTTGCCTGGGGTTTTGCTATATTTGTTATTGACTTATTGCTGTTTGAAAAAAATAAAATAAAATAAAAATAAAATAAAATAAAATTAATGGGGCAATGAACTAACACTGTGATATTGATGAATAGAAAGGGTATGAATAATATATACTTGTATTGTTTTTCCTGCTATAAAATACTTCGTATTAGTATAGATATAGATATGAACATATGATGGTATTTATGTGATGTGGATGAAGGGGAACTAGGGTGATTGATGGGTCAAATGAAGGGTGGATAGTTGGAAGATGAAAGCGGGTTAAACACCATCCAATCTATTGCCGACCTTAGTTAGAATACAATTCAAAGGGCATTATCCTCTTTACTCACTAGTTTACCTCAAATTGAGATATTGGGGATTGATTTGAGTGGAAAGGATTTGTGGTTATATTCAAACTTTTCCCTAAATTACTTGCTAGGTAAATAATTGTCTTCTCATCTTCTTGAATTGATTAACTTCTTTGAATTCAAATTGAATATATTTCAGATTTGGGGATACGTCACTGGTTTGTGTTATCTTTGTTACGTTCAACAATGGCAAATGAGGAGGCTAATGATGCCATGAAGAATCAGCAAATTGTTGATGCTAGAGCTCGAAACATTAGTCATAATGTTCGTTGTACTGAATGTGGAAGTCAGTCCATTGAAGATTCACAAGCCGACATTGCCATTCTTCTTCGAAGGGTATATCATATTTTCTCACTTTTGCTTCAAAATAGATGCACACTTGCTGTTTTACGGTCTCTAATGCACTATGACCATGAGTATCTTTGGCTGTGCACTTGTGCATTAATAATAATCATCAAAACTAATATTTTAAAAAAAAATGGGCCTTTTTTTTTTTTTTTATGATACCATGATTAAGAACAAAAGTATGTCATTTCCATGTTTAATATAATTCATTCTAGCTTGTAGTTTCTTGCTAAACAAATAGTCTATGAGCTATGAGCTGTGTTGCCCTCTACACACATGATTTGGAAGAGGATGGTCAATTTGTTTAAGGTTGCTTTGTTTTGAGATGGGTTGACAACAGTACTGCATTGCTTTAGAACCCTCTTTGTGTTTAAAACCTTCACCTCCTTAATATCTTGTGGCTCCTGAATTGAACTATGAATATAATTTTCTATCTTTTTTTTTTTTTTTTTTTTTTTTTTTGTTTTTTTTTTTTTTTTTTTGGGTTAAAGGGATGTACATGAACTGACAACTAAAAAACTTGTGATATCAATAGAATATATAATTTTCTGTCATCAACATCTTATTCCTGTAGATATTTATTTATGAATACTCTTTAATAGGTAAATGTAGTCATTGATTTAGACCAACTAGCTGCATTAATTGATCGTATTAGCTTTTTAGGTGTTTGGTATAATGGTTTTATAAGCTGTTGACTGTTTGAAGATACAAATAACTGTTCGACCATTAAGCTTGTTTGGAGTTTATGTAAAACAACTTTTGGGCCTAAATCTTTAGCACAACTACTATTCATCAAACAAGCGTGTTTAAAGATTTGATATGGTCATACCCACACCCCCTCCTCCCCTTTCAAGAAATGAACAAGCTTGCAGTCAAATTTTCCTGTGTTTTTGTCCTCATGAGAGGTTGATAAGGTATTCTAAGATGCGGGTTGTGTTTACAGTTTATTTTGCACTCTTTTGCTCAAGTATTATTTGTGTAAATATTTAATTTCTAGCTGTATTCTGATGACTCAATGGCTACATCCTTATGACTTATATACCCTTTTATGCTTAGGAAAATAAACATTTATGATTGACAAGATTAAGGATTAGAAATATGGTCAAAATCTTCATTTGCATTCTTTATATGTATCATTAAAATATTATCAGGGGTGATGGCTGTTGTTGAATATAGCCAATTTTCTTGCATATTACTGATGCTTTGATTTGGTGCAGTTGATTCGTGATGAAATTCGATCTGGAAAGTCTGACAAAGAGATCTATAAGAAGCTGGAGGATGAGTATGGAGAGACCGTGCTTTATGCCCCAAAGTTTGATATGCAAACTGCAGCTCTGTGGCTTACTCCAGTTAGTTTCGAATTTTATGATATGCATACTTTTTTATCCTTTGTATAATTGTATTACTATAAAATAAGGAAATGAGTGTATCATTGTTAACATAAGGAAATTGGACAAAGCTTGTTGTTGCAGGTGTGGCTGCTGGAGGTTGGGCATACAAGAAGCACAGACAAAGGACAAATGTTCACATTATGGCTTTAAATCTTGTTAGAGGGGTTGCATTGACACCAAAAGAGAAAGAAACAATGCTTGAAATTCTTACACCACCTCCTTCACAACGAGCAACACCCTCTTTCTGGTTGAGTAAACTTCGATGCGGATAAAGGTGCATGCACAAGGGGAAGCTCTTTGGGCTTTGCAAGGAAGGCAGATTTTTTGTTCGGATTGAGGAGCTAATGTGCTCATTGTTTAAACCTTGGAAGCTTGCATGGTGTATTTTATGTGCTTATGAAGGTTTTATGATGATATGATCACGTTTTGTACAAATATAAGTCTGACCTCTTTGCAAAGATTTTGCATTTAGATCTTTTATTGACTATCATAGTATCATGCATAAGATGTTAATCTGCGCGATTTAGTGCTGTCATTGTTATGAAAGCTCATTTGGTTCAGAATTTCTATTATGGGGATTTTTATACACCTATTACTGCTATTGTATCTTTCTCTGTTTATTCTCTGATGTTACATTTCACTCCATTTTTATTGTCCTTTTTTGTTTCTTTCTCTGTTGTTTTTCAGGCTGTTTGCTTGTACCTCAAAGCTTCAATTGAAAGTCCTCATTTCGAGCCTTTATAAATAAGCTGATACTGTCCTCTAATTAATTGCCTTTTGTGGTCACGCATCTAGCTAGGATGTCACAACCAATCTGTATACTTGCATGTAGTTTGTATTAGTGTATTATACTAATATACTGATGTTATTTCTGTTTTAAAATATGGCACTTAGCTGGACTGTGTTTGCTATTATATTGTATTCACTCTAATGTGATGCCTCAGGTGCTGTTATTTTTTTTTTAAAATTATATATGGCAGTCTTTGATAATTTTTAAATATTCTTAATAGACCAACCACCAATCCTTAGTCGGATCAATAATCTTAATTTCCTTAATCCTTATTTTACTGATTTAAATTAGACGTGATATGTATTATCAACTAATAGCATAGCCTACATAGGTGCCTTGCATGTTATTCATTTACCTTGAATACTGCTGAAAGTTTCTCCATTTTCTATCCTGCTGGTCAACTATATATTGCTGTGAGAGGTACAATTTAAATTTCTTTCAGGAAGCACATTGGTGGTTAGCATTTTTTTCTGAAAGTTTCTGGAGATAATACAGTTGCAGGTCAGCTTTGGCTGTGGATGTTTGTGCCAGATACATTTTTCAGCATTCTTGCAATCGGTAAGACTTAACATTGATGCATGTGACAGTAGACTTTAAAGATATTTCTTGTCTTCTGATTGCTCTACTTTTGCTTATTGCCTTATCAGCTCAGTCGATAAGACAAGATAGCTATTCATAAGATTTAGTCAGGTGTGGCTGCAAGTTACGAAAGAATTGTCAGCAGCACACCAATATTGATAGATAGTAGGAGAGATCATGCTTTATACAGTAGACACAGATCAGATGAGTACTTTCCCAGATCACATTGATTCAGAAATTCAGCCAGTTGTTGAGTCTGATCCTCCAGAGTCTCTTGTAAAGAACAAAAGGACTGTAGCAGGTAAAAAGGATAAACAGAAAAAGAAGCTTAATTCCAATGTTGAGGCTGCTATAGGGAACCCCTGGACCACTGGATTGTTCAACTGTCATGAAGACTGGACAAATGGTACTTTTTAGCCATCAATCTCATATTGTTTTAATGTACTTCTTGATTAAATACTTTTTACAGCACATTTCCTAGTCCACATAAAAATTCACTGTGGAGCGTAGACTGATTAACTCTTTGAATATAGCTGTAAAAATCTGTATTATTTTATTAACAGAAATTTCTTGTATTGAGTTATATCCTGATTGTTGACTGTGGGCGTAAGGAAATACTAAATTGGAAACATTATTTATTCTTAGCACTCTCTTAAAGAGTACACTGTATCTTTTTAATTTTCATCTCCTAAGCTAGCTCAATTGCTGTTGATTAGAGATTTTATATGCTTCTGAGAATTTGTGACATATCTTCTTACTGACATTATACGCAACTTGTTATAACAGTGAATGTTCGTGTTTTATGCAGCGGTTGTAACAGCATTTTTACCTTGCATAACATTTGGACAAATAGCTGAAGTACTGGATGAAGGAGAGTTATGTAATGTCAAAATCTTTCTCCTCTAGATTAGTTAATATTGCTTTTCATCCTATTCCCGATTTCCTGTTTAGGTGGTGAGAACCACTACTCGTTTCAGATTATATCATCACTACCATAGGCTGCAATGTTAGTGGTGATATAATCTGATATTAAAAATATTGATATTCGTATGGTTAATGTTTTTGAATATGATAAACCTGAGCAGTTGAGCTCATTGAAAACAGATTCAATCCTACTGTGTTAATTACTACATATCAGAGTACACCTGTTGCAAATCTCGCAATGTTATCAGACCATAGTATTATTTCTTTGCACTCTGCTAAACTCTGTTGTGATGTATGATCTAGTCACTTGTGATTGAGCTCATTGAAAACAGACATAACAAACTCCTTGTACGGCTGTAACTAATGAAAAGTCAGAATCTATTGATGTATATTCAAGCTGCAAAAGTGTGTTAGACATCCTTGTACAGGAGTGAAGTTATTGAGACTTTTTCTCTCTTCTTTCATCTTTCATGACTCTCAAACCTCTGTTACTAAATTCTCTAAAAACGCAAAACAGAAGCACAACTGTTTCATTCAGGCATCGGTCACTTATGAAGTACTTCGTATTAAGTTATTTTATTCATGTTTGGTTATTGCAGCATCTCCGTGGGGAAGTTTCATTTACTTGCTGATGATGCCTGCTCTTTGCTCTCAATGGATAATGGGCTCGAAATACAGGAAAAAGCTGAGGAAGAAATATGATTTGGTTGAAGCTCCCTACACTGACAAGGTCTCACACATTTTTTGCTTGTGCTGCTCCCTTTGCCAGGATTACCGAGAGCTTAAAAACAGAGGACTTGATCCTTCTCTAGGTATTTGCTGTTCTACTCCTTGATCAAATTCCTGCATTTGCAATGTAATTGTAATTATTCATATTTGAATGAGATGAAATAAATTTTTTTTGTGTTGTGTGTTGTAGGCTAGAAAGGTATCCTGGCTCAACAAAAGGGAAAACAAGCTGAAGATCAGCCAACAGAGACTCCTCCAGCAAAGCAGGAGATGGTCAAGTAAAAAAGAAATAATTAAATTGCTGAACAGACTTTTGTTGTGCGCTTAAATATAATCTTGCTTATAATTTCAACATTATGTATCAATTTTTTGAGGTCTCGAATCAGGCCATGCTATCTATGCATACAATGCAAGCTACCTAAATATGAAGGCTGAAAGGCAAATTGAAATAATTATGTGTTAACTCCAACTGCAGCAAATTATCATTTCCCATACTCCAGCTATATTGTCCAAACTCTGAAGGTCTTAATATACATCGATGTATTTGTAACTCGGATAAGCCCCCACATACTTCAGCATACTACTCCCTCTATTTCAAAATAAATGCTTCATTTTGATCGTCACAATAATGCGGTACTTTAAACAATGCTCTCTTCGTCACACAATACAAAGCCTATTTGGGGTTTTTCATGAGAATTAAAGAGATTGTAAATTCCTTAAAACTAATGATTGAGAGTACATATGTGCATGTGAGGTTAGAGATAGATAGAGGGAAATAAAAAGTAGTTGACAATTATTGAAGAGAGGGTAAGAGAAAGTGTTGAAAAATAACGTCAGAAGTACCAAAAAAAAAAAAAAAAAGGGGGGGATGACAACTCATCAAAAAGAGGGTAATAATCTCAAAAAGTACAACCGTTAAATAGAAATAGGCGTTATACTTTAATTTACCCAAAAAGCAATACATGCTTTGCATTGTGTCACGAGGGAGTAATATATTTAGTTATCAATAATGTAAGTATAATTTATATAAAAAAATTGATTTTCGAAAACTATAGACTGAGACGATTCTAGGTTTGATCTTATATAAGCACTTTATTTAAGTATAAATTATCCATATCACTTTCACCCCTACCCATACGAGTCAGTTTGCTCTTATATAAGCACTTTATTTAAAATAAAAATCATAATCTGCATCATAACCTTTTACAAAATAATTATTTTTTTTAACCCTTCAAAAAAAAATAATAAAAAAAATAATTTTTTTAAAGAAAACTCAATGAAGAAGAAAACAAGGGAAATTACGAGAAAATACAAGTCTATCACCCTGATAAACAAAATTTGTTAGTCAAATAATAAAACTGTTGTTAGAAGATAAATATGAATGCCTATAATTATTTGATTTGATTTCACAATGTTCACACGAGTCCAAAGACTTGTGAACTTGTGTGGCATTATATGTAAAACTCTTGGCTATATAAGCCATGTTACCGGAGCAATATACATAATCAATTTCTCCATCTTCTCTTACTCCTTTATAAAACTTTCTATCGGTAAAACTTTAACACGTTATCAACACCAGTTTTCAGTCAGGTATATTTATACCTACTTATAAAAATTTATAACAAAATAATACTATCTACTTCTAACTGTTTCGAGGAGTATGCTCTATAGTTGCCCATATTTGGGATCCTCTATAACAGAAACTCAAACATTTACTATATATACCTCAAAAAACAACGGTGAAAGTTCTCTTACTTGTGAATTTACTTTGTTTGATCCATGTTGATATTACATACTCATTTTACGTAAATTTTTATCTTAGTTATTATAATTGCTAAGTAGTAGCTTTGCATGCATATTATTATTAACTAGATTAACAAAAAGATGCAGCCTTTTTATACTTATTATTTTTCTTAATTTTACATACTTTTTTGTGTTTCTTTCCGTTTTCGAACTCATGATCTTTTATAGATATTAGGGCTCTCGGACCACTATGGCTTGCATTCCCAGTGTGATAACCTTTTACAATTATAAATATATATATATATGGACCATAATTTTATGCCAGTACGTTAGACTATTATATGATATTTTTACACTTGTACAGAACAGTAACGGATAAACCTACCTCTATAAAAGACGGATTTTTTCCCCCAATTTCACCACAAATCCTTTATCTCTTCCCACTTTTTATCCAAAAATCACCTAAAAAAAAAAATTCACCCCCTTCTTCTCCGATATGTTCCCCGACGACGGCAACCAAAACACCCAAAACACCCACAACTTCACTTTTGAAGAAGATTTAAGGAAGATAAAACAATATTTCCTTCTAATTACGACACTTGTAGTTCTATTAGTAGCAATATTAATTTTTGTCATTATGTATAAGTAAAACTCACTTATTTTGTCGTTTTAGTATATTAAAAGCTTGTTTTTGTTTTATTATGTTGTTTGTTGTTATTAATCATCATTGTATAATATTACCGTTATCATTATAATTATTGTTACTACTGTCATTGTTGTCGTTTTGTTGTTTTTTTTGCAACTAACATGATTAATTTTTGTCTAATCATATAATTACTCACAATAATAAACCAAGGGGGAGAAAAGACTATATTATTTATGGTTTATTATTATTAAATTTAATTATCACGTGTCTTATTAACTTAATTATAAATATGGAAGAACTAAACATGTGAGTTGTACATATAATTTGTTATTATAATCTAATTATCACGAAATTTGTTGTAGCTAAAATGGGAGACCTTATGAAAAGACAGTTCAGCATCTTAGATTTATCTGGAAAGAAATTTCTGGAATGGAAAGTGGATGCAATGATGAATTTGAAAGCTCAAGGTTTGGAGCACACTGTTAAAGAAAATAAAAGTCCCTCTGGTCAAACAACTGATGCTACCTCTTCTGCAATGACGGTTGAAAAACCTATCACTGAACAAGATAAGGCAAAAGCCTTAGTGTAGTTAAGGCATCATTTACATGAAGGCCTTAAAACTGAGTACATGATGGTTGAAGATCCCAAAGAATTATGGGATTGCCTTAATGAAAGATTTGGACACCACAAAAGGGTGCTCCTGCCTAAGGCATTATTTGATTGGACAAATTTACGGTTCCAGGATTTCAAATCTGTAATTGATTATAATTCAACCATACATGAGATAGTGTCTATATTGAGATACTGTGATCATCCGGTTACAGATGAACAGATGATTGAAAAAACACTCACTACCTTTCATGCAAGTAACATACTGTTGCAAGAACAGTATCGTGAAAGAGGTTTTAAAAAGTTCAATGAATTAATGAGTATATTGCTTGTTGCGGAACAAAATAGTGAACTTTTGTTGAAAAATCATAACCTGAGACCAACTGGGTCTTTGGCCACTCATCATGAGGCAAATGCAACAAATTCCTATCCACCCGAGTCAAATGCTACAAGAAGAGGTGGACGTGGAAATTACAATGGCCGTGGAAGAGGTCGTGGAAATTATCGCGGACGCGGCCGTGGTCGTGGTAGAAATAATTTTCAAAGAAACAGTAATTTCAAAAATTTTGAAAAACAGAAGGGACAGTCATCTGGAAGCCACAAACAAACTCCTTCGAAAGGAAAAGACACATGTTATAGATGTGGCATGACAGGACATTGGGGACGTACTTGTCGAACGGCCAAACATTTGGTAGACCTTTACCAGGCTTCTGTAAAAGGCAAAGAGAAAAATGCAGAAGCAAATTATGTTAATGAGGAAAATGCTCCTTGTCCCAGCCTTGATGTGTCTGATTATTTCATGGATAATGCTGAAATTGGAAATGATTTCATTCTTGGAGAAAACAACAATACTTAGGTTTCTCATCTACTAATGTAACATATGCTATGTTTTAATGTATTTTCTTAGTTCCCTGTATTTTAAATTTCTAGTCATGTACTTTAAATATCTATCATCAATAAAAGTTTGTATGATATTATTCTAAACTAATCTCAAATTTATTTTATGAAGATATGGATCTACCTGAAGTTAGTTCCGAATATCAATGTCTTTTGGACAGTGGAACAACACATACTATCTTAAAAGATAGAAAATATTTTTCACAACTAAAGTTGTTTCAAGCAAATGTAAACACCATTTCCGGGTCAGCTAAATTAATTGAAGGATCTGGAAAGGCTTGTATAATGCTTCCAAATGGAACAAAATTAATAATCAATAATGCTTTATATTCGAGTAAATCTCGAAGAAATCTCATAAGCTTTAAAGATGTACGCCAAAATGGCTATCATCTAGAAACAATGACAACAGATCAAAAAGAGTATATATGCCTCACGACAGAAAAACATGGCAAGAAACATATATATGAGAAATTGCCAGCATACTCTTCGGGGTTATATCGTATAAACATACGACCCGTGGAAATCAATATGGTATCTAACCAGAAGTTAGATGACAAACATTTGATTATTTTATGGCATGATCGTTTGGGACATCCAGCAACTGCGATGATGCAAAGAATAATAGCACATTCAGTTGGACATTCAATAAGAAATGTCAAAATTCCCCGATCAGATGAATTAACATGCTCTGCATGTTCACTTGGAAAATTAATAATAAGGCCATCTATGAACAAAATTGCTACTGAATCTCCAAAATTCTTGGAAAGAATTCAGGGAGACATATGTGGGCCAATTAATCCAGCATGTGGACCATTTCGATATTTCATGGTTTTAATTGATGCCTCTACACGATGGTCACATGTTAGTCTACTTTCAAGTAGAAATGTTGCCTTAGAAAAATTACTTGCCCAAATCATCAAATTAAGAGCACAATTCCCAGATCATACAATAAAGAAAATAAGACTTGACAATGCTGGGGAATTTACATCCCAAACATTTAATGATTATTGTATGTCAATTGGAATTGATGTTGAACACCCAGTAGCTCATGTTCATACACAAAATGGTCTAGCTGAATCACTAATTAAGAGATTACAATTGATTGCAAGACCATTATTAATGAGGTCAAGATTGCCATCATCTGCTTGGGGACATGCTATAATACATGCAGCAGCGCTAATTAGATTGAGACCTACAGCTTATCATAAATTCTCACCACTACAACTTGTTTGTGGTCGAGAACCAAGTATCTCACATCTAAAAATCTTTGGTTGTGCTGTATATGTTCCCATTGCTCCACCCCAACGAACAAAAATGGGTTCACAAAGAAGGCTTGGAATTTATGTCGGGTTTGAATCCCCCTCTATAATTAAATACCTTGAACCATTGACTGGGGACTTATTTACGGCTAGATTTGCGGACTGTCACTTTAATGAAATAGTATTCCCAGCCTTAGGGGGAGAGAAAGTGGACCCACATAAGAAAGAAATTGAACTCATTTGGAATGCAACACAACTGTTGATGTTAGACCCACGCACAAATATGTGTGAACAAGAAGTTAAGAAAATTGTTCATTTACAAAGTGTTGCAAATCAATTGCCTGATGCATTTGTAGACACAAAAAAGGTGACAAAATCACATATACCAGCAGAAAATGCCCCTGCACGTATTGAAATCCCAACTGGTAATAAGGCCATAGAAAATGAATCTCAGGCACGCAGAAAGCGTGGAAGACCACTTGGTTCAAAAGATTCTAAGCCAAGAAAATTGAAAAGATTGGATGGAATAGAAAATGAGACTAATGATGTTCCCCCGTCAGAAGGTCAAGAAAAACCAAATGTGGATGAAAGTAAAGAAAATGATGATAATCCAAAAGGGGACGAACAAGAAGACAACCCTACGGGGAATGAACAAGATGTTCAAAACATCGATAACAATGAAATTTCAATGAATTACGTCTCTACAAAGACTCAGTGGAATAGGAAAGATGTTATCGTTAATGAAACATTTGCAAATTCCATCGCAATCGACATCGTGTCTGATGAAAATGATGTTGAACCAAGAACTGTAGAAGAATGTCGACGTAGGAGTGATTGGCCAAAGTGGAAGGAGGCAATGCTGGCTGAGTTAAAGTCACTTGAAAAACGAGAAGTTTTTGGGAAAATAACCCTTACACCAGCAGATGTAAAACCCGTTGGATACAAATGGGTATTTTTAAGAAAACGTAATGAGAAAAATGAAATAGTTAGATACAAGGCAAGACTTGTAGCCCAAGGATTTTCTCAAATTCCAGGGATTGATTATGAAGAAACATATTCTCCAGTGGTTGATGCAACTAAATTAAGATTTCTGGTAAGTTTGACAGTCACAAAAGGACTGCAAATGCGATTAATGGATGTAGTGACTGCGTATTTGTATGGGTCACTCGATACAGACATTTACATGAAAGTCCCCGAAGGACTAAAACTACCAGAAAACCACAAGCCTAGACAACTGCTTTCCATAAAACTAAAAAGGTCACTTTATGGATTGAAACAATCTGGAAGGATGTGGTACAACCGTCTGAGTGAATACCTTATGAGAGAAGGATTCAAAAACAACCAAGTTAGTCCCTGTGTTTTCATAAAGCGATCACAATCAGGATTCGCTATCATTGCAGTTTATGTTGATGATTTAAATATCATCGGAACCCCAAATGAACTCGAGAAAACTGCAAAATACTTGATGAAAGAATTTGAGATGAAAGACCTTGGGAAAACTAAATTTTGCCTTGGACTACAAATTGAGCACTTGAGTCATGGCATTTTTGTCCATCAATCAAACTATACAGAAAGAGTTTTGAAACGTTTCTTCATGGACAAAGCAACCCCAACCAACTTCCCAATGGTTGTTCGTTCTTTGAATATGAAAAATGATCCATTCAGACCTCGAGAAGAAAATGAAGAGATTCTGGGTCCAGAAGTACCATACTTAAGTACAATTGGAGCCTTAATGTACTTATCTAACAATACTAGACCCGACATAGCTTTCTCTGGGAATTTGTTAGCCAGGCACATCAATGCACCAACATATAGGCATTGGAAGGGAGTTCGACACTTACTCCGGTACCTACGAGGGACACAAGACCTTGGTTTATATTACCAACCAAAACAAGATGCTGCTCTCATTGGGTATGCAGACGCTGGATACTTATCAGATCCTCAAAATGCCAAGTCACAAAATGGATATGTATTCACTTATGGCGGCACTGCAATATCATGGAAATCAACAAAGCAGACATTGACCGCGACATCATCAAATCATGCAGAGTTGATAGCCCTCTATGAAGCAGGACGGGAATGTGTGTGGCTGAGGTCGATGATCAGTAATATCCAAAAGGAGTGTGGAATGAACGTAATAACAGAAGACCCAACCATCATCTTTGAAGACAATACAACATGTATCGCTCAAGTAACTGAAGGATATATTAAGGGAGATAAAACGAAACATATTGCCCCAAAACTGTTCTTCACACATGATCTGCAAAAGGACGAGGAAATAAATATCCAGCAAATTCAGTCTTGTGAAAATCTTGCCGACCTTTTCACCAAATCACTTCCTTCGAAGAAATTTGAACAGTTAGTAAAATCGGAATGCGACATCTTCGTGAACTATGCTGAGATCAGGGAGAGTATTATATGTACTGCACTCTTTTTCCCTTCGATCAGGTTTTTATCCCACCGGGTTTTTCCTGACAAGGTGTTTAACGAGGCAGTATACCAAAGCATATAATACTATATCGTTGTACTCTTTTTCCCTAGCTATGGTATTTACCCCATAAGGGTTTTATCTAGCAAGGTTTTTAATGAGGCAACAAATACCTTTCTGTATAATAAGTATGGGCATTCAAGGGGGAGTGTTAGAAGATAAATATGAATGCCTATAATTATTTGATTTGATTTCACAATGTTCACACAAGTCCAAAGACTTGTGAACTTGTGTGGCATTATATGTAAAACTCTTGGCTATATAAGCCATGTTACCGGAGCAATATACATAATCAATTTCTCCATCTTCTCTTACTCCTTTATAAAACTTTCTATCGGTAAAACTTTAACAACTGTAAATAAATCAATATTTTTTTAATAAATTTAGACCCATAATTTTTGATATAATTACATAATATGCCATGCTGACTAGACATTTTTGTTAATTTATTTATAATTTTACCACTTGATAAACGAATTTTGTAAACCGACTCCTCAAGGCAACTAGAACTCAGGGAATGAGGCCACTCCTCTGGTCTTCACGACTCCACCACCTCAACCAACTTTTAATAGCGGATGTACAATACTTATACAATAATACTCCACAGTCACTATTTATGGAGTATAAAGACAGGACGGTGGTGACGAACTAACCGTAATTGCATGCTTATTAAATCGCGAGGGAAAACCATCAACTACCCCCAAACAACAGTGACATTAATTTTAGACCCTTGTTTTGAGGCCTTGACTGGTGAGGGTGTTGAGCTAATTTCATGACAACATTTAATAGGTTTTTCAATCCATTATTTCCCTTAAATATATGTCGTGTTTATCTCAAATTCCCATGTTTCTTCTTTCCTTCTTCTCCAATCAACTCTTCTCCTTGCTTCTCTCATTCTCGTCTTTATTCAAGTAAGCCATTTTTTCCCAATTTTCTCGTCTTTTCTGGGTGTTTTTCAGTCATGCAGATAACGTGTTCGATGAATTGCGTGCTTTTTTATTTTCTGATTTAATTGCTGTTTTCTGATTTGGGAATTTGATCATTTGATGTGGGCATTTTACTAAGTTTGGAAATTTGAGTTTTTTTTTTATTTATTTTTTATTTTTATTTTTTTGTGTGAACTGTAGGTCGGCAGAATTTAGAATATATAGGATGTAAATCATGTGATTGAGTAACTTTCTATCCAGTTAATGCTCAAATTGATAGCTTTCA